TTTGCTGTAAGATCCACTTTATTCAGATTGGAGACAGAAAGTGGATCTGAGTGAAAGTGCTATTCTGGAAGTGGATGATAGCGCAAACGCCACGCAGGGAGCGTTTTGCTGCAGTTAGAGAGCGAGCGGATTCCTCTTCTATCTGCTCGATGCAAAGGAGCCGTAGCGCTACCCGTACGCCGCTCGACAACGAGGCAATAAATAACGGCTGTCACGCCGGGGCTTGCAATGCGGCAAAGAACGCCTCGATCGCTGTGATCTATTTACAGTTCTGTTTAATTCAACTGCTGGAACACCGGTAACAGCACTGAGCTACGCATAGGATGCTCTGTTTGAAATAGGCGTGATTGGGGAGGTGTCTGCACAGCAGTGCTCTTTTTTAATAATTTTTGTGACACAGCATGAGGGGAACTGGAAGACATGTGTTTGTAGACTTCTTCCCCGTTTTGAACCGTCAGGTGGTGTGTGTGTGTGAGAGAGAGAGAGAGAGATGGGGGGGATACAGACAGAGATTGTGGGTGGGGGAGATAAAAGGATGAAATGGGAGGAGTTTATCTGAATGCATTGGTTATTAGTTGAAGTGTGCGTGTGTGTGGGTGTGTGTTGGGGGGTGTTGGGGAGTGTGCTGGGATATAAGGTTCCTGCTTGAAACCCTTTAATTCTAAAAAAAAAAAAAAAAAAAAACTAATAAATCAAATGGAAAAGGTTCACAGGTATTCTCTGCTGGAGAGAATGGGAAGCTTTAATTAATTGACCGATGACGTGATGTTGACCATAGAGACACTGAGACTGGCCACCAGCATCACTGCAGGCTGGAGAGCAGGTGGGCAGGCCTCACCATCTGCCTATATATATCCTATGAAAGAGAAGCATAATTCATTCATTTGTTTCTTCAATATTTTCAAAAAAAAGTTCATTTAGCAGCTAAATTTACAATGATACAATTGGAACTAACCATTTAACATTTTTAGTTACTACACAAGGAAATAGGAAAATCCATCTGAATAAAAGACTAGCAAACTGAGATGTAAAGGAAAAAAAAATCTAAATTCTAAACCATTTATGGTGAGAGACTGACAGTACCTCACTAGCTGTAAAAGTCTGGAGGCAAAGAGGCTGGAGTTTGCTAATTGGCTGTTTGGGCATGGAAGCTGTGCTGATGGGAAATGGAGTTCCTGGACACTGGTGCTTGAAACCTGGTGATGCAGGGGCACAGGGATGGAAGTGGATGGCATTGCATCGTAATTTGCGCGTAAAGCACAAATGATGTAAAAAAAAAAAAGTCAACCAATGCGAATGAAAATCTGTTTCACTATAAATGCGCCAAGGTGGAATACCTGTTTCATACATTTCCGAAAAATGAATCTAGTTATTGCAACAGAAACATCTGTAAACAGTACACGTCTAGCACCAGCAGAGAGCGTACTTTCTGCTCTGTGCATCAGACTGAAGGTTTTTTTTGCTGTCCTAAAAGAACTAGAAAATGCAACAATAGCGGATACAATTAATATAATCTGGGAATATTAGTTCAGGTATTTTATATAGTTATGCAATTCACCAGGTTTCTGTTTGTGTAAGAAACAGAAGTAAGTTACTCATAAGGTAAGTTACTCGTAAGGTAGCCTTACCAAGCCAGAAGTATTTCTCCCAGCTTGCAACTGGTTAGATCAATAAGTATAGTCATAACTAAATTTAGCTACGCAGATGAATTTGTGGATTTATTTTTCTTTGTTAGTTATAAACATGCAAACACGCCCATACAATTCTTAATGCAGCTCGCTTATCACCGAGCTAGCTAAAACGATAACCACTGGAAAAGAAAAAAAGTAAAATGAAAATTAAAAACAAGCAAAAAAATATTAACATTCAATATAAATACATGAGGCATTAAATGTGCCCTTGAAGTATTTACCCTGCCTGTAATCTGTTATCTGCATAGCCAGGACAAGCCAGACTTGGTCATTCTTAGCATTTACTAATACCTTTGGTGCTTGGCTCCCAATATCATTATTATGAGAATAAATATGTCATAGACCAATATATATTTTGCGAGATTCTTTTACTGTGGTCTCATTCCCAGCTGTTTCACTATGTTTGCATATTGTAAGGTGTCATAGTGTGTTTGAGACTTTGTGGTAAAGAATTGATTAGGTTATACATACATTATTTGGAGTTGGGGCATACATTTAAAAGCACATTGATTTGAGGGTGCTGTTGTTTACATAGTATGGCAGTCAAAAGGCAAGAATATGTTTTTGGGTGTAGGGTTAGTCTAATCATAGACATCTCCAGCTTCAGTGAAAAATGTTTGCCTTTTTGTGGGTATCAGAGTTTCCTGCTTACCTTTATAGAAGAGAAAAAACTAGGCACAGCTTAATTAGGGTGATCAGCATGAGACATGCAGTTCCAGGTCTACCTGCTCAGTCCATCTCTGTGTTGTTTCAAAAGTTCCTTTAAATTGTGTTTGCTGCTACTTTCCTTGCCACTTTCCCAAGTAGTTTTCATTTACATACACCATGTTGTTGCTTTGTCTGTTATTTGTTTAACAGTTGTATCCTGCATAGTACGTACAATGCATAGACAACAGCTGTTTGTTAATTGAATCAGAGATGGGGAGAGACAATAGCATGTGTACTATAGTATCAGTCTGTGGGAATAGTACTCTATGAATGTTGAAATGTTATGCTAATACAGTAAGAGATTCTAAAACTATTATCTTTTCTATAGTATCTGAATACAATAACATTTAAATGGCTTTTGCCTGCATAGGAGTTTACAGATATTTTAAATGCTTCATGTTCAGCTGTGCAAATGTCAATGATTTCTAAATTGTCAATGCGTCACAGTGAATCACCAGTGCATCCACATGCAATATATAAAACCGGGGGTTGGATGAGGCTGTAGGATTTTTTTATTTCAGGCAGATTCAACAGTGAATTGAAGGATTCCCCTGAAATCAGTCTGGCTAGCGTTTGGGGACAAAAAGGGATGAACTTGTCCGTCAGTGCCCTGCAGAAGAAAACGGCTCTTTTCCAAGATTGCTAGCTTTCACCGCCAGTGACACCTGTGCCTTCAAGCACCTGCTTGTGGCTGCGTCCAAAAACCCAAAAGCTGGACAGGACACTGAATAGTTTGAGTGCTGATGCCGATACTGATAAACGATCTCCAAGGAAGGGAGGACTTATCGCTACATAATATTTCAGCTCCACAGCCCTGAGGAGAGACAGAACTGGGGCAGAAAATCCCGAATGAGTTTCTGCAGAGCCACGGCTTGCTTGTCTTGTGCAGTCATCTTCATTCACTTTACAATGTGTGATTCCTGTGCAGCTTTAAAAAAATATTTGCCACAACTTTACCAGATCATTTTGCAGATAGCAGAGTTTCCCCTCTGTCTGCTTACCGCAAGCTTCTGGAAGCTTTAGAAATAAAGTTACGCAGCATGTGCGGCGAGCTGTTGTCTGCCTTATCGAATATTGATTTCTCGGGAGGGATCTGCATAACCTGTTTCTTGGACAAAACAGATGGTTTGTGCATTGCAGCTGTTGTGCTGGCAGTGTATCCTTCGGCATTGCCTCTTTATTCATCGCTGAGAGCTGATTTTCTGGCGCAGACGTGACTCATCAGCTTTGGGAAAATGGGCCCTTGGCTGTTTTACAGCTACGTCATCACAATGTTTTCTGTAGGGTAATGAAGACTGCAGCTCTTCCTGGGGGCTCTTAGCAAATTGTTTGTGGTAGCCTGCAACTTGGAGGTCATATAGACTTGTTAAAGCAAAAATGTTTAGACATGTTTCTGTGGACGTTTAAAAAATTTTAAATCACACAAGCGTGGCCACTAGATGTAACAGGGGAATGCTAACTTTATTTTGGTCATATTCGACTTCTGATGGGCCTATTCCTCCATCAACCTATGTAGTAGGATATGCTTGCAGAGGGAATTTGAGGGCAAGACCCCTTTCATTTGTATTTATTATCATCTGGGAGTCTCTTACGAATGTGGAAAACCGTTGAATGAATACTGAATGATCCAGCTAAGTTTGCCCAATAGCTTCCCAGCACTTACTTTCCCTTGTATAATACTAGTACTAAAATTGACTGATATGGTTGCTTTGTAATGCAAAGGATCTAATAAACTATGCAATGACCTAATCAAAGGCCAGCTTTTTTTGTGACGCTGGTGATATCCAGTGACAGTTTTCTCATTGTGGCGTGAACGAAAGTAAGCGCAAAGAAGATGGTCAATGCCTCTCACAAAACAAACTTACAAAAAAAACATAAAAAACAGACACACACCTGTATTAAATGCACCTTTAATTAAGCAGGTGTGGCCCATTAACCAATGAATGACTGGCTTCACATGCACGTCATACAATGACAAACAGGCAAACAGTTAACAATGGGCAGATTTGGATGCAATCAATGACATGTGATCTGCTATTGGTAGGTTTGAATTGGATGAAAGACAAAGGGCCCTTAAACATTTAACATGTTAACAATTAACACAAATTAACGACATTCAGTTTCTAGGGGACAGGTCAATGCTCTCCTTCACAGTAAATTATAGCATTATTACCTCTTACAGCTACATCACTACTTTCTCTACATTATTATTAACTACTGATAATAATGAATAAAATATTTAGTGTGTACTGTCACTTATTTTTTGTTGATGCTTGTAATTTTTTCATAGGTAACTCTTGTGGTGTTTCATGCAGAATGTACTAATGAAATAAAAACTGCTGAACTGTGAGAATGGCCTGATTTGACATAGGGTTATACTACATCCACACTTCACAAGTATCTCCTAGCCCACGTCAGATAAGACTAAATTGTACGGACAAGCCAATATGATTGCATTCTTAAATGGAACCATTGACAGTGCTCTCAGCTTCTGTTCCAATGGCACATACTGTAGATGCTGTACATAAATCAACGGACTTTCCAAAAGGGTTCCTCTGAGGGTTGACTTAAACAGGGTCCCTATTATATTTGATGAAGGGCAGCAATGTAGCACAGTGGTAAGGAGCAGGGCTTGTAACCGAGAGATTGCTGGTTCGATTCCCTGCCGGGGCACTGCTGCTTTACCCTTGGGACTGGTACTTAACCCATTATCATCTCAGTAAACATCCAGCTGTACAAATGCCTAACATGTAAAACTGTAACCTGTGCAAATCGCTTTGTATAAGAGCACCTGCAAAATGCCAATAATGTAATGTAATGAAGCAGGGAGTGTGCTCACAATTCCTGTCTACACACTGAGGAGCTGGAAGCCCTCAGTCAGTATCACACTGCATTCGTATCACTGCCTGGGTGTGGACAGACCACCACTGATCCCGGCATCCCCTCACCACTGACTAAGATTTAATCAGGGCTCCCCAGCACGGCTGAGGCCAATCTAATAGAGGGGAAACCGTCCATTTATCTCCCACAATTATGGCTCTGAGATGAGGGGTACATTTATCAGGGACAAACATTGACAAAGGAGTGTAGCAGTGGGGCAGCAGTGTAGCATAGTGGTTAAGGAGCAGGACTCGTAACCGAAAGGTTGCTGGTTTGATTCCCCACAGGGGCACTGATGTTGTACCCTTGGGCAAGGTACTTGACCCAGAATTGCCTCAGCAAATATCCAGCTGTATGAATGGATAACATGTATAAACTGTAACCTATGTAAGTTGCTCTGGATAAGAGCGTCTCCTAAATGCCAATAATGTAAATGTGTAGCAGAATTTCCATCTCACTCCCAGAAGCTGTTCTTCCACTCGAATGGTCCAGCATCGGATAAAGCACACGGTTGGTGCCTTCATATTGTCGCTGTGATACATGTCCTCAGGAAAACGCCGCTGTTTATGGCTCTGAAATTAAAGGCGGCCTCCGTTGCCCCCCTCTGACCTGGCCACATCTGGGTCAATTCCTCAAAGAGAACAGCTTCTGCCTGTCATCAGTTCTGCAGACGGTACCCAAGAGCTTCCACTTGAGTCATTTCTTCTCTGAGACAGCCCAGGGGTGCAATCCAGCTGAACCCCCCTCCGGAAAGCCGCAATAAACCTGATGCTATTTTCTCCACGCTACGACAGTCCAGGGATTTGCGGTATTTTGCCTTATGGCTGCAATATCCATGCCAGTCAACTCAGAAGCAGAACTGAGGGAAACTCTATTATAAGAGCTGTCAAAATCTCCCAATGACAAATATCCCGAAAACCTCACATACACATTTCACAGCCAATTGTTTAATGATTGCTATTCTAATCTTTAGCCTGTCACGACAGGATTGTGATATTGTCGACATCAGTATGCTGTTACACAATATGAGGCTTTACATCACTCAGACATGTTTTTCCACAAAGGAGAGATTAGCTCTTTGAATGTGGAAAGGTAAAATTTCCCCTCTAGACATTTCTTCTCTCTTTCTCTGTTGACTGGATACAATGCAATGGAACAGAATGGGATCCTAGATCTAGGGAATGTTGCAAACTGTCAATGAATGAGTATTCCAAGATCATTTCCACGTGACATATGGTAACTAGCTCATCACAATTATTGTGTTTTCAGCCAGGTTTTGACAGCATTTCCTTTTCCTTTTTTACATAATTGAGTTAGTATTGTCTATAGATTTTTCTTCCCAAATTCACTGGGTTAATGACTTCATGAGTTCCTGCCCCCCTTTGTAGCTCTGCTGACGAGGTCCCAATTGTAGGACCAGTATCCAGCACTGTCTGAATAATTTATGACACATGGCATCTACGCTGAATTTAATGACTACATTTTGCCCTTTTAACAATTCAAGGCTTAAACTGAAGTAGCCATTTTGGCCCAGTCTTGCGGCTGAGAATGTGTGTTTTTTTGTGACAGTCTTTTGAAAGGTAACGTTAAGCATCTAAAATGAATTACGAGAGGATCGATCGACTGTATAAAATAACAATCTCAATTGTATGAGGAGGTAGTAGGATGCAGCTTGTAATTCAGATGAAAAGTGTCAGAGTGTGGCTGGGAAAGTAGACTCTCACACCTTCAGATCTCAGATGAATTACAGCTCAGTGTGAAAACCTGCTAGGGTTTCTCTTTATCGCCTTCGTTCATGAAAAAAAGGCTTTCGTTCGGCAAGCGCTGTGTGCTATGTGTTGGAGTTCCTCTGCAAGGTTTATGGCCAATGTTCCAGTTTACAAGCAGATCGCATTTCCAGACAACGTCAATAACCAATGCTGACACGCTGTGAACCTGACTTTTGGACGATTTATAAGCCTACAGTGTGGTACAGCAAGATAAAAAAAAAGACAGAACCCGTTACATCTTACTTTAATAGATCCTCTGAAGAATAATCTTGTTAGGGAGCGTGACTAGACAGTAATCCTCACTTAACCACACTGTACATTACAATACAGCAAGCCGTCACCAGTTACCAAAACCACAGTTGGTAAGGCCAAGTATTAATGGGAAATAGTGACTTAGAGGAACTGAGGCAACATAATCAAAGCCTGGGGGCTTTGCCTGTTCAAAACACACAATACCTTAACAAGAAAACGAACAAATGTCCGGAGTCTACACATAAATAACTGAGAATTACTTTGATTTTCCAGCAGCACCCAGACTTGCCCTTATTACCCTCACTTTTCTGCGTGGTTCTAGTGGAGGATGTGTTTACCCCTGTGAGATGCTGCTCTGAAGATGTGCTCTCCAAACTAGTGAACCCCAGTTATTCGATTTATCTCCAGCTACTGTGGGCATGCTTAAGTGCAGAGGGATAAAACATAAGTCCTGTGATTGAGGAAATGGTGCGCAAACAGGAAACCGCACATACACGGAATGCAGGGTTGGTAAAATTAGGGTTGGAAATGGACTGCTGTAATTGCATAAGGTCCATTATATGCCGTGCTGTGCAGTGGAATAATGTAAATGGTTAAACCAATGTACAAAGCTCCATGTACGGTAGGGAAAATGCAGCCATTTATTAGACAGAATGTTCTTCACTTAATACTCTTTTCAAGGTGGAATTGTAATACATTTCTATGCAATTTTTTTCCAGTTTTTTAGAAATTTTTTTATGGTTTTAGAAATACAGAAGTATTGACTGTCCAGCAAAATTTTGTGTTTCAGATGCAAGCAGAAATAGCCTTTCTTAAAAAAAATGTAAGATATTGTTTAACAAGCATACCACTGACCCAAACATCAATCATGAACATCATCAGGCCCCTAAAAAAGCACTGAAAATAAGCAGCCACCTGAGTGTCCTTGTGAGAATTCTCTTAGTGGATTAATAAAGTAATAATAACAGTAACTCATATCTGGCAGTATGCCTGTCCTCCGTTTCCTTTTTGGTGACTAAAACACAGGAAAAAAAAAAAAGTGCTTGGAAGCAGACCGTCCTGCCTTTGCCAAGCGGGCCCGGGAAAAGGACGCATCTCGGTGCGGCAGTCAGCGGTGTCACCTTGCGAGTGAGCGGTGAGAGCTGATTGGATGTTTCCTCGTTGGTGCTGAGCGCCCATTGGGCTGGAGCGACTGCTGATTTGAGTAGCCCTGCTGCAGTGGGCTGAGGGAAGACAGCCTCCTGGCTGATGCTGCAGTTTCTGAACAGGCCTGCCCACCGGGGGCCCGGGGAGCGCACGATGCCATCTTCTGCGCAGGAACAGGAACACGGGGAGACAAGCGCAGTGTCGCCATGGGAACAGTGGAAAGGAGAAGTCAAATTTTTGACAAGAGGGGACTAGATAAATATGGGATTTATGTTAAATATTCACAGTGTTAACTCGTAATAAATGTTTGTATGTTTAAAGGTATTTGTATATAATTGTATTCCACTGTAAAATTGTTAAAAAAAAACTATATTGCACATAAAAATATACTAACATTTGTTCAAAGTATAACAAAGTTCAGTATTGTGATGGGCAGTTGTTCAGGAATGACAGGTTAGCATAACAAGCCAGGTTGCGCACTACAGTGAGAGGAGAGAGGCTGCTCATTAGAGGATTGGCACAACTCCGCTGATGTCACATGAGTGTCCCCTAGGCACCTGACAACCTGCAGGATGCCTGAGAAGTAAGAGAAGCCGCCCCTGCTGATATATGCCCCCCATTGCCGGAGGTTATTTGGCACAATAAGTATTTTATTTTAGAGCTGATGTGCTAATTAATGTTAGTTTTTTTTGTAACTTAACACATATTTTCTCAGTGCTTGTTCATGTGCTTGTGGCAGTGTGGTGTAGTGGTAGGGAGTAGGGCTCTTAACCAAAAGGTTGCTGGTTCCTCTACCCACTAGGGTACTGCTGCTGTACCCTTGGGTAAAGTACTTAACCCAGAATTACCTCAGTAAATATCCAGGTATATAAATGGATAACACTTGTAACCTGTGTAAATTGCCCTGGATAAGAGCATCTGCTAAATGACAATAATGTAATGTACTTGTGCACAATGGATTAAAATGCACATTTTGTGAAACCATCTAATTCTTAAATACCAATGCCAGCAAAATGATATTAACTCCTGCTCACATGTCCAACATAGCCAGGCTGGATGCTGAAATTTAGGATGAACTGTAATGTGTGCAGCTGAATGCAGGCAGCAAGCAGTGAGAAGCCAGAAAAAAATGATGCTGAGTTTGAACTGGGAGGCTGAAGTGGCTCAGCCTACAGAATGCCACTGCGTCTCAACTCGCAGGTCATGCATGGTTACCATGGAGATGAGATGACACAGCCTGGTGCCAGTGACCTGCAGTGGTCCAGCAGAACAGCTCAGAGCCAGAGCCAAAAAAAAAACTGTTGATCTGCGGAAATTTTGCAGGGGTGACTCCAGATATCACAAGTGGCCTCTTGCACAGACAGAGCTAATTGTTTAGAGCATGGATTGTGTGCTAAATTTGTTTCTTTACAACTGGGATTTTCAGATGATGGGGTTATGACTTTGTCTGGGATGGACAATTGGGTCCAGACTCATATGCTGTCTCGTGGGGAAGATTAGATTATCCTAGGCATTGAGATAGCATGCCTCTGATTTCAAGTGCTCACCGAAAGATTGAGTTTCATGCTAGGTAAATAGGTAATGTATGGAAGTTGGAAGAAAATAAACTAGAGACAATGCTGACATG